TTTAATATTCGGATAAATAAAAAAGACACTTAAAATAGTGTTACACCTCTTTACATTTTAGCCTTGATATATTTAGTGATTAATAATTATATTTTATGTAATGAACTTTCTGTCACTTCTTACGTTGAATTTTCTATTAACTTCGTTTGTACTTTTTGAAAATATAAAATCACACCTGTTTTATCCACAAATACGCTACAAGTTTGTAAATCGATGTGTGCATTTGACTTAAATAAAGTATCACTTCAAACAAGTTTAATATTTAAAACATAAAATAAGCCTTGAACTTAATTAAGAAACTAAAAAATGCCTAGTTAAACGAAATGGTAATTTCTAAAGCTAGCGATTCCATCTGTCTAACAATCTAAATCTAGTTGATTGTCATTGTATGTAAGAAAGTAGTAAGTAGTAAGCGAGTAAGAAAAATAGGCAACTGCCTAAGGCGACAAAAAACCACTAAAAATTGTAATATCTTATGAGTAACAGTAAAGAAAGAACATGTTATGATAAGTCAACAACTCTACATCTGCCATATACAGTACCGAAGAGGCCTTTCGCCCAATACCAAGGCTCATCAGGCTGGGCCACTGGGTTTGGTTTGAATTTCGCGCAAAGCTACAAGAGGGCTATCTGCGCTAGCCACCCCTAGTTTAGCAGTGTAAGACTAGAGGGAAGGCAGACAGTCATCACCACCAACCGCCAACTCTTGGGCTACTCTTTTACCAACCGTCACATTATAATGCCCCCACGGCTGAAAGGGCGAGTGTGTTTGGTGGGACGGGGATTTGAACCCACGACCCTCAGATTGCGAGTCATTGCGAGCCAGGGCCATTGGTCGGGATACAATAAACGTAGTAGTGGTCGAGGTACTATATATATCACCAACTTTCATGGACAACACACTTTGGTGTGACTCAGATTAAGTAAACGAATTGTAATGGTTATAAATTTCATTTAAGTTATCTATAAATCACATTTTAGGGTAAGGATTAATAACACAATATTATTTTTTATAACCTTGATTATTTAGTTTTTATTGTTAACATTATATTTGGATTTACCTTACTATCATTCAGAAGAACTGGCGAAACAACAAGCTAATTTTGTTCCTGGAGTTGGTCGAGCAACCACGGCGTCAACGGGAGAAAACTACGTTCGTACTTCTAAGAATTTAAGAGTAAAAGTTAAAAAGAATATACTTTAATATGTCAATCGCACTACATCTGCCATATCCAGTAGCGACGAAGCCTTTCACTCAATACCAGGTCTCATTAGGCCGGCTGGGATATCTCTCTTAATTTTACTTTCAAATAGAGTCGTCTATTTCGTGCTCCTTGTACCTTCTTTTACTTTACCTGAAAACTGCATTCGTAGACACAGACACGATAAGGTAATTAACTTAAATATAAAACTACAGTCGAGTATACTTAAATATACTTCTTAACTTTACAGCTAAAATACCTAAATCTAAACAGTTCGAAGTAAGACACATACTGCTATACTAAAAGTTTATTAGAAATTGTGCCATTTTGCTCATGTAATGTTATATATATATACTAATAGTGCAGGAGTTCCGCAGGAGAACAACATTCTAAAACCTTGCCTTGGGCAGCAAAATTCCTAAGGTCAATCCTGGATAGAATATGTTGGAAAATTAGTAAAATTAAAAGTTTTCACATGCTAAATGTAAATGAAATAACACGGCTTGTTTATCGTGTTTGCAAAATATATTTCATTACACTGTTTTACTAAAGAAGACATTTAAGTTTGGAGGAAGTGTAACGTAGCCTCGTTATGCTACAACTTGGAGTGTATGTCTCAACGCTGTGTTGCTGTTATTTTATACGTGTGAGTCAAAGTGTTGAGTAATCCTTACTGTAAAAATCTGATTTGTAAATGACTTAAATAAATTTTTTACAGTTTACTTACTTAACCTGGTTCTCACCATAAGATTCGTTGGTCAGGAAAACTGATTATTTATATAGATCCTAGACCACTACTATATCTGTCGTATCGCAGCTTGCCTTATGAGCCCTAGTATTGATGGAAAGGCCTCGTCGGTACTGGATATGGCAGATGTAAGGAGAAGGCATAGAAATAGCTGAACACAGCTACAAACCCAAAACAAGACTGCTTCCTTACCATACAGGATCATCAAGTTTGAAGTTCTTGCATCAACTTAGACTGTCCATAATAGACTCAAGGTTTGTAGCCATGGAAAGCCTATCTTGACTCAGCAAAGTCGCCGAGATTGGGTTTAATACCACCTGAGGTGATCTATTCAAGATTGTACGTCAGTGCTCTTCATAGGTGAGACTGTGTTTTGTCTTCACAGACCATCATCCCAGAACGATTAGATTATCATGAAAGCGCTATCACCATGTTAGCACGATTGAACATGACCACTAAAGTGGTGGGTCCGTTATGACCTGCAACGGCAACAGTTTCAATGGCAAGACTGACCTCTGTGTGTCCTGGGACGGCTTTTAGAAAGCTATGCAGTGCAAGGATGAGATCCTAGACATTTACTTTTGAACAGTAATGTTGCCCACACTGTGCTCCGGTTTTGAAAGAGCTTCTACACGGGTACACTATTGTCCCACGAAATGACCTGCTCCTAATATAAAATCAATCGAGTATATCGGGATCTTACTCCAGCATGCTGTTTCAGCCAAGCTTATGACTCTCACGAATTTGGAGATTCTAATATTGGTTTTTCTGATCAAATATAAAACTGCCCGAATATTCTGTAATGTATTTCTGCTATGTTGAGTTGTGTAAAGACCCGCTGAGAAGAAATTTTATATGAGAAATTTTAAAAGAAAAAAGTCCACAATTATCAGTCCGAATCATAAGTCGGTTAAAAGTCGGACGTTGTTAAAAGAAACACGTAAAGAAGTGGGTGCTGTTTCTGTCACGTTAAAAACAGCACCTACTTTTTAAACGAGTTTTGTTTTCACAGCGAATTTTAACTATTTTTATATTTTCATAGTACATGGATTACTTAGTTTAGCTCTCACTTGGTCCCTTTTTATATGCTGATTTGCTACAAGGAATATTTGTTTGTTTATAATTAAGCACAAAGCTACACAATGGGCTATCTGTGCTCTGCCCACCACGGGTATCGAAACTCGGTTTTTAGCGTTGTAAGTCCGCAGACATACCGCTGTGCCACTGGGGGGGGGGGCTACAAGGAAGAGGCTGTTCTACTATCTGCATAATAAAAAAATCACAGAATATCTGATATGTGATATCGGAGCTCAAGACAGAAAAAATAACGAGTAAACGTTTTGATGTAAAATCAGATCTACAGATACGATTGTCTCTATATCATTATACGTATTGGAAAAATATTAACAACAATAGAAAAAATAAGACTCCAACTAGCGTGTTTACTTTTCTTGATCTGAATTTCACTTTTCTCCAGGGCTAGTATGTTTCAACTGACTATAATGTAGGTCCAAATAATGACAGTTAACATCCAACAACTGATTGAAAATGATCCTTAGTTTAATACAGTAGATAATTTTAAACTATTTTAAACTCTGATAACTGATTATGTGTCTAAATACAGAGTTGAAATCAATAACTTTCGTATTTTGCTCTGTATATATATATATAATATATATACATTTGAGTGTATTTAAGTGTGTAATTATCAAATATATATATATGGAATACAATAATAAATCTTAGTCTTGGTGAATACAACTTTACAAAAAGTAGGTGAGATCTCTTAATTTTATATTATGTGATTTTAATGTATATCTAAATTTTACACACAGCCTCGGAAGTCTCTAAACTCAAAAGTCGGAGAAATGCAAAAATATGTGCTGTACAGTACTTAATATTCTAATAGCGATGATTCAAAATGAATTTACAAGAACCTGTGACACGTGTCTAAAATAACAATAACTTTCTTACGTATTTTTTCGGCTTGACCTAAAAAATACACAAATTGCTGCAACGACTGAGTGATGTTTTATCGATAAGACAAACTTGTAATAATGTAAAAAAATCAGTAATAAAAGCAGGAGTATTTAACAAATGGAATAACAAATTATATCCGAAAAAATCAAAAGATCTTGTACCGGCGATGAAATTTCAAAATCCTTGTAATTCCGTCACCATGATATATTATTTGAGTAGGTACAAACCACTCTACGTGTGTCACTTACCTTGTCCAGTTCAAGTCTACTTACGAGCAATTAACATACCAGTCGAGATTACCAAGTACACAGGTCTTCATACACAATGATCTATTTTCGTGATCCGAAATCTAGTATCACAAACACGCCCTGTTGGAGAGCTTAGGATTTCTTCTCTTGAGTATAAACTTGAGCGATGAGGGTGAGTTTGTAATACAAACCAGACACATTAACGTAGCGTATCATACATGCATCTTTACATTAATATGGAAAGACAGAGCGTCCACAACTCATATTTTGTTCTACGATATTCGAAGGTACTGTCCAGGCTAACGGTTGGTATTGAAGCTTTGAAGTATACGGTTCTCTGCCAGAGTGTGAAAATTGGGCAAATAGTTCAGCTTATATAGCATTTTCCTTCAATAAATAACTAAGGAGTAGCTATACGGAGTTAAGCGCCAGACCAATGAGCCCGAGGATTTCTTTGATCACTGTGCCACGTTCATCAAATAGCACGTCATCGAAAGCAGCATTAAGCTTTTAGAAAAAAAAAAAAAGTAGGATTAAAGGCTCAGTGTTTAATTCAAATATTGTGTTTACCCTAATTCCTCTTCTCATTCATGACGTATTAGATTATCACGTCGCTACAATTACTCTTTGCTAAGCGCATAATATCCGTCAAATCAGGACCAACGTGTAATCGGCTTTACTAACGTCCGAATCCCGGGCATACATGCCTGCGCATGGCGCAAGCATGGAAGAAGCTGCCGTGACGGCTTAGCTTGGAACCGCCTAACTTTCTTAGCTATCAGTCAGGGAAAGAGAAAAGAAGAACACGTATAAGCGGCTTACCAGGATAACCGACGGTAGGATGGAGAAGGTCAACTCCGGGTGAAGGTAGCCCGATCCCGTTCACGGGGTAAGGTGGAGACTTGAGATAAGCCATACCGGACGAGACTGTGGTCTGGCAGGCTGCTGTAGAGAAAGGAGAACACGAGGAATTAGCCGGTTGGAACGCCACGGTGCCAGTACAAGGGAGATGACCACAGTTGACACTGAACTCCACGGGCGACACCACGTCTGCCAAGCCGGAAGAATACGTTGTTGGTCCCGTGTCTGCTGCTCTAGCGGCACCTGTATAATATAAAATGTTGGTGAGCTTGTACTTGTCTAGATTTGTTTTTTTTTGCAGACACATGTCTTTTGTTGTTTTAAAAAAAATTTAAGCTAGAACTATGATTTTTTTAAGCCTACCTGTAGTAAAAGAAAAGAGCACTATATTTCAGAGCAGATTCGGCTGCAGGGTCACGTCACCTAATGGACAGATCAGTCTAAGATCATACTCCCACCCTTAAGCCCATCAGTTTTATTACTGACACTGTTCCCACACTGGAGTAGGCTTGTCCATCAGCTAAACAGACCTTGCTCTGGGTAATTTGACAGTGCTTGCACGAGCACAGCAGGTGCTCCTCCTTTCCGAGCAGCTCCGCACGTGACACGCCAATCACGTGCTCATCGAAAGAACAGATGGCCGCTAGCAGGCTGAATTTTGAGTGAGTCTGTCTTTTGATTGGTTGATTGTTCTATTGCGTGCAAACGTAAAGACAAAAGGCGGGGCTATGCAGAACAGTTTCCTCGCACGGGTTCTATATGCTTGCAGTGGTATGTATGTCACAACGAGTGGGAAATTAACCAGATTATAACGAAAACAGGTCATCAAATTTTCAAGTCGTTCTAAAAGAAGCCGGAATCAAAAAAAGACCCTACCACAAGTGACCGTATCTATCAATGAACGAGAACTGGAAAAAGCGATAAGGGCAAACCGGCTATTAATTATCAAAACGTTCGTCCTCTTGAAAACGATGATTTTCTCTGGCATCACAAGCGAGATAACAGTGGTGACATCTAGTTATTTAATTTACGATCCACAGCAAAAGAAGTTCTCAATTGTTGGCACTTTGTACTATATATATATATACGTTAGTGTTACATTTCAAAAAAATTAAGATTTAATTCTTTTGAAACACATGAATTTGTTGTCGTGAAATTCAAGAAATATACCAAGAAACTCTTTCAAAAAAATTTAAAAAAATAAGCATTGTTAAATTACTGTTTAGAAGTATATACAAGGAAATCAAATCATTTACGAAATCGTAAATTTCTGTCATGCCGACATGCATATATTACTGGATATACTAATTAACAGTATCTTGTTTTTTGTTAAGATGTTCATGCTTCGTAGAAAATATGTTTATATGCAATGCAGCACAGAAACAGAATCTCGCCATGGGCGTTTGCAGGGGGTAGGACATTTTCCCCCACTGGTAAATGAAAAAGATAATTCTTTCTTCCCCTCCTGGAAAACTTTGCCCCCCCCCCATGAATCCCGCATGTGAAAACAAAGCACTGTAGAAAATAAAAGTTTTGAGACGGAATATTGTCGAAATATCGTGCATTTATAATAAAGTTTTTTTCATTACACAGTCAAGCTGCCTCAAAACACGTTATCAAGAGTTTTGTAGGCTAATAAGCAGCACGAGCTTTGGTTTCCAAATACGATTATAAATGTGACCAAGTAGCTGACCTCGAACTGTCCAGAATATGGACAGTAACTCTAAATGGCTCAGGTGTCGTTTGTCATAGGTGTCAAGGACACACGCCATGTTCCATTAGTCCCCAAGCTACTCTACTTCCACACCTGCCAATCACGATCTATCATCGAGTCTATTGTTTACACTAATGGAAGGTTAAAAGGTGTGTTTAAAGCGTCATACTTGACGACACGTATTCACCCTGCACCTTAGGGTGACAACTCTTTAGTGCCTGACACGGGCCAGTAATCATTTGGAGAAAAGTTTCATTTTACACATACTGTGCTTATTTTGAGTACTTTACGGCCTGTTCTACAGTACCATCATCATCGTGTAGGTGTCTATTTCAGTAGCTCACAGATCTTGCAAGAGATTTTAGTAAAAGTTAAATATTGACAATAAAACGTCTTTACAGATAAAGAAAGACCTTTGTTACAAATAATTTAACTAAAGATTTAGTAATTACATTTCCTTATTTTTTTGTTTGTTTTATTGTAAGCTGTCGTAGTAACTCCATTATTGATGATTGTTTTCTCAATAACTATCTCACAAAAGTATATTTCATGTTTTACTGCTTACGCCAGCGTTTCCCCAACTTTTGTCATCCACGCCCCTCTTTAATAAGTGTTGGAGGCGACCGACACTGAAACCCTAGCCAGGTGGTTAGGGCGCTCGACTCGCAATTTGTGGATCGCGGGTTCAAATCCCTTCACACCAAACATGTTCGCTCCTTTCAGCCATGGGGGCATTATAATGTGACGGTCAAAGCCAGTATTCGTTGGTAAAAGAGTAGTCCAAGAGTTGGCGGTAGGTGGTGATGACTAGCTGTTTTCTCTCTAGTCTTACACTGCGAAATTAGGGACGGCTAGCGCAGATAGCCCTCGTGAAGCTTTGCGCGAAATCCATAACAAACAAACTGAAACCCTGTGTATTATTTTCTGACAAACAGTTTAGTTAACCCTAGAATTACCGATGGAGCTCATGTCCTCCAGCTTTTTAAACACATTTTTCTAAAGTATTTATATAACACATTGCTCGTGAATCCATGACTTTGTTTTCTAAAGGGTTTCTAATGACATATGAGTCATACAAGAACAGACTTTTAGTATCGCAGTTACTTCCACAACCTGCCGCTGGGGTCTCCTATGTATTTAATTAGTAATTTCGCCTAATTTGTTTGGTCAATTATTTACACTGAGTTGTAACAGGCAAAAATAGATACTTTTTCAATATTATACAATACCCCTCCTGTAATACGCGGTAGGCAAGCAAGTTGGTGATTTGAGTATATAAACTGTACGAATTTGAGTTAAGCATACCGATCTAAGTATACATAGTATCTCAAAAATCGGTTGTATTCTTTATAAATACCGAGAATAATACATTTTCTGTATCCACACTTATGATTTAAGATATTTAGTATTATGATTTCATCTAGTTCCACGGACTTAGTCGTGAATTGTATGTCTTTCAGAGTTTTTCAAAGGAATATTTAAAATAGAGTTTGTGTGAACAAAAATAGAGGGGAGGGGGGTATCCTCTCCTTCACCTGTTGTTACCGTAAACTTTTAGTATCTATATGTTGAATCAACGATGTTGGAACTACTGCAGAATTCATAAGAACGGGAAGATGTTGGTAATATACAGAGCCAGCTGTCTCTATTTTATACATAAATAACAAATAATACAGGCTTCCCACAAAAACAACACCTACACAACATGGCCTACATTCATATCACCCCATGATCTTATCAGTGAGATATCACGATTGTGATGTGACATGCAAAACACCAATTCCAACAACTTTGCACAATTTTCAGGTGTTATGAAGGGATTTTTTATTGATCATACATAGACAAAATGTGTCAACTTACAAAAAACTGTGAGAAATAAAAAGAATACAGTGTCTAAATGATACAGCAGCTGTTCTGAGAAAGTATCATCTATTTCACCAAGCCATATTTCTGTATGAATCCAAACCACTGAATTTGTATCAATATTGTTTATATTTTGTCAGAAATAAAAAACAACAACTGATATCCAAGGAATAATAATAATAACAAAACAAACATTAGCATAAAAGTGTTTACGTGATAGATGACACGTGCTGCTGATAGTAACAAGAATATGTAATTTATAAACATCACGTAATTTGCGAACATACGTAGATAATATCTGTTTAAAAATACTTAAGCTATGAACAGATGTTTCTCTAATATACAGTTTACTGAAAAACGCGATTTAATGTCTGTATTAATACTTGTATATAACAGCTTATATATATATATAAATAATAGCTATAATGTTAACAGGTGCTAAAATGATAAGACTCAAAGTCTCCGATAACTGACGTTCAAATATTCATCATGGATAAGAGGATGAATCAAAAGGAAATTTTGATATTCTCTCAAACTTTAAAGAATGGTCTAACAAACCCTATTAGTTATTCTCCCTATCGTCTACACAAGTATATCCATCCGTTCGTCAGATCGCTGATTGTACAACCCTATAACTGAATATTGCTTTGAAAATATTCAACTCAAAATATTATTGATACCTTGTTTGTGTGCGTATTGAATAAAGACTGATTCGTACTCTTAATGTCTATATTTAACAAGTATCAGGGGGGAAAGTATCGCTAAGTAAAAAAGCTGAGCAGGGTTGGCTACTGAACTTGAAAAAAAAAGAAACCAAACAAGATAGTGATGGAAGTGGACATATCACTTGATCCAAATAACGATCACGTAGCAGACTAAGCCATCTCGACTTTACATGGAAAATAAAATCCTTACATTACTGGATTTCCCACTTTTTCTATGAAAAGCTTGGTGTTTGAATATAATCTCAGTTTTCATTTTTATACCTTTCCTTCAGTTAACTTTAGAATACTACTTTTACGACTATTTTACAATGAGTAAGATTTTACGATTGGAAATTCTGGTTCTATTTGTTTTGCCAGTGAATAAGCCAGTACTGTAAGGATTTTATTCTGCTAGGGGACCATTAGCCGGATCAAGTGATATGTCCACTTCCATCCCTATCTTGTTTAGTTCCTTTTTTCAAGTTCAGTAGCCAGTCATACATAGCATTTTTATTTAGCGATAAATATTTTCCTAATACTTGCTTGTTTACTTTTTTATTTATAAAATGGCGTACATGGGTTACTAGATTATAGAGTATATTCTAAAGTTTTATAAATTTTGCATATAATAATAATAAAATAGGTAGTCAAAGATCATGAAGACTGTTTTGCTCTATCAAATGATGATAAAATTATAGTCACTGTTAGAACTACACAGGCGTTAGGCCTATGAGAGGAAAGTTCATGATGAACAAAAATAAGAAATCTCGGTTTTGGCTATTCGCCGGTTTTCGACTTTGGGACGTTCTGGATAGCTGAAAAGCGGCATATACATACAGGGGATAAAGCGAATATGCTAGATAGCTCTTTATATCTAGCTTCTGATGGCTTGTAGAGAAGAAAATCCAGATGACTTTTGTATTACTTTGATACGGGCGTCCATGTCATCCCTACATATAAAG